CGTAGGGGATTATGGACCATATCGACTCAATCGGGAGAGTTCTCACGTGGATGTGGTTGCATTCTCCACACTTCCAGGGAAATCAGCCTGGTGAATCCCACCGATGGTGTGTCCGCAGGCCACAAGAGCTGGAAGATGGGACTCTGCAGTGCGGATCTCGGTAAATAGATACGTGGGAAAACGAACTAATCATTTCAGAGACATTGAAGCCCTGCTGAGCAAATAGTTGGGTGTGGGTCGCGATATCCTGTTGGGGCTCTGGTACTGTTTCCGGGCCGCCATTCTCGGCGTCAATGCGTCCAGCGCGGAATGGAATGCTTGGGCCCCCGCAGTTTTTTATGGCGAGGATAACACTGGAGGAGAAAGGTGAGCGTAAGCAGGAGCGATGCCACGGCACCTACCTCAATGCGATGACGTCCGCCACTGCTGACATATGAGTACCAGCCCAGAGAAGCTTAGAGTACACCGCTTACTGGAAGAGTTCTCTGATTGGAACGAGCGGAAAAACTGGAGAGAAGAATTCATCGCGGGTCCGACATTCTGCGCTCTGTCCGTTTCGAACCCTATAGAGGCGTCAAGACCACCGAGACCCGTATCAATGCTATAGGTTGCCATATCATGGTAGGCCCTGGGGGTAAAAACTATTGGTTAACGAAAGTTCCTGAAAGATGCAAAAAACGAACACTCGCAACCACTCCGATGCGGCCTGTCGACCCGGCGAGAGACCTGCGAAAGGTGAGATGGAGCACGGATTTACACCTGCTACAATTCCGCCGTCTGCGAATCCCGATGACACAGTGTAAGCGTCCTCGAGAAAGTCGTATGGGCTAGGCCAAACGTAGCCGGAGACACCAGCGCAGAGCGAGAATGTACTGAAAAAAATAGACTTGATTCCACGCATGGTGCGAAGAAGTAGAAAACGAAAAGAATGTAGGTAGGGTAGACTGTCACTTTATAAGGCGGGATTTTTTTACCGTGCCAAGCCCCGCGTGGAATCTCGGAAACGAGGGTCCGAGTGTCAGTTCGCCCGAGTTCAGAATGGTCGACCAAGTTTAGAAAGTTGTTCGTTCTGAGTCCGAGTCTCCGAGACCCACTCTGCGGTATAACACAACGACCAGAACCTCTGCGTTATCGACGCCTGGACGGTACCGACCCGCTTGCTTGCTTTTGTGGACCGCTGGCGGTCATAGCACAAGTCAAGTTATGCCGATCAACGTCGGGCTTTCCATGATCGGCGCGCTTGGCTTCCGCAGTCGTTCATCACGAAAACCCAGGAAAACCCCCTGTGATCGATTACCGACGTCGATCTGCGGGAAGCTTGGGCCGTCCGCAGCCGTTACTATGGCTGTGGGTGTTCCACCTTAAGCCCAAAAGTAAACTTGGAAAAGAGCCATGAAACCAAGGAGCCGTAGGGACCATAATTAAAGTTGGTTCCACTGGAGTCGGAGATCCATTGGACGAAATACCCACTTGGATTGCAGAACTTGTGCAGGTTACTACTATACTAATATTCTGAGTCTGAGTCATGCTTGACCTGGTCGTGATAATCGTAAAACTCGTCGCCCCCGTCGTCATATTTAATCAGCAAGCCTTCCTTCTTCATCGCCAACAGAGGTTTGAGTCCCAGTGGCCGTAGTCGTCGTCGTGACACATGACAACCAGTGAAATGGCGGCGAGCCGACTCAGGTCGCTGGCGATCTCGGCCCCAGCTTCCGGCCAACGCGAGCGCACCATCCGCATATATGCATCCATGTCAAATCCCGTATTGACTTTGAGGTGGAAGCGACGAAGACGCGGGAGCAGCGGCACGGACACCTCACTCGAAGTCGGATTACTGGACGGAGCGGGTTTCTGCGCGCACAGCGCTGTGAGGAGCTCCTTGGTGATGAAGTGATTGGCACCGACGTCCTCGAAAACATCCCAACTGGTTTCCTCTGATAGCGACTCAGGATCACGGGTTCGACATTCGTGGAGTGATACCTCCACTGCGTGAGGGGCGAGCCGAAGCAGCTGGAGAGCCTCCACCGTATCGAGGGGTACACCTTTCAAGCGCAATGTCTTGAGCGTGCACTTGGAACGAGTCAGCATCTCGGTGACCGCCGTCTGAGGCCATTTTCCTGCTTCGTGGCGAGACTCGTGTGACGCAACGTACTTGCGAATCATGTTGGAGCTCACAACAAGCGATTCGAGCTGTGGCAGCGTCAGCGCAGTACAAATGCTAAACACCCCTGGGTGCGCGTTGTACACGGAGGAGGCCGACGTCGATTCGATACCCAGCGAGCGCATCTGATGCGTGCGAGGAACGAGCGTTGGTCCACTTGTTCCCAGACTCAAAGTCGTCGCGACGCGGAGGGAAACGGACATGAGTCTGGGACAGAGTTCCAGAACGGTCTCAATCTCTCTCGCGTCGACTGGGGTAAAATGGATGCTGGTGAGTTGGGCCCAGGGAATGGTGCTCGTCGCTTGTGGGTTGAATTTTGACAAGGAAAGTTGTCGTAACGCTGGGCAGGACTTGAAGAATTCAATCCTGATGTCTGTGCCCGATCCAGGTGGATAGTGGATATGGAGTGATGTGAGGGAGGGCAGATTATCGAGTGCGGCGGTGAGGATTTCGCGGGCACCGTTGGTGAGATATCCGAGTTTAAAGGTCGCAGAGCGCCAGCGAGGGGCGCGTGCGGCAAAGAGCCCGAGGACCTTTTCGTCCACCACGATGGATTTGACTGCACGGATGTCAATCTCTAGCTCCGCGTCGCGGGCAAACGTGAGATGTCTCTCGATAGATTTAACCAGGCTTTCCTGCTTCTGAGCCTCGCCGGACGTAAGTTCGACGAGGAATCTCGTCCAGATGCCGGGTGTCGCTTGGGCGATAGAGCGCCACTGCGCACATACGGATGCGACACGCGTTGCGGGAGAAACAGGTTTGGCTCCGCCGAGGTGGTTTACGCCCACCGAGAGCTCCATAATTTGCTGGATAATCTCCGGGGGCGCCTGGCGAATCGGAGCCGAGAGGGATTGGAGCAGACGCTTGTTCTCCTCCAGGACCGCCAGACGGCGTTGAAGAAGCGCTACCTGGTACTCCAGGTCCCAGATCGCGTCCTCGTCGCGAGTTATTCCACTTTCAACTTCTTCAAGAAGATTTTTGAGATTTTCGCGGTCCTGGGGGGAAGGGGTGCGGCCGGAACGGAGTAGGGGCACAAATTTTGGGTCCTGCAGAAGGGCGATGGGTTGTTCAAAATTTCTACAGCGGAGCTGTGATCAGTACATAGATCGGCCTTCTGAGATTCAAGGAATGACCTTTGGTCCATGTTGCGGGGGGAAGTAAAATTCCAGCACGATCAAACGCGCCGAAAATACTGGACAGTCTGTGGGCTCTGGAGAAACGCGAGGGTAACGCCGTGACTGGTACTGATGGCAATGTTGACTATGATTGGACGGTAACGCGGCCCGGTTCAGTTGAACCACGACCAACCGGCGAACTCGAGGTTCAATGTGCGATGCAGGCCTTCACTCCTTTGCACTTCCAGAATCAATAACGAGGTGCTCACGGGACTAATATTCTCGTCCGAGTCTGACGTTGAATGTTGAAACTTGAACTCAAGTCTCATTTCAGCAAATTCAAAGGTCAGAGTCGGCTTGCACCGTACCGCAAGCGCAGGTGCAGACGATTTAGCCTCCTGTGGCCGCAAATGGTTATATTCCGGAATATCGATGCTTTCCGATCCCCATTACAGTGGGCGCAACAGTGCGCAAGTTCTCCTGGGTAGTCTCGGGCGTTGATCAATCACTGCCCCTACAGAAAATGCAGGACATGTATGTATCTGAATCTCGATTTCGTTGTTATTTCCAATCGGCCCAATGCAGAGCCCGCGTCCAAGAAGGGACACAAGTTTACTAGCGCCTGTTTTGAACATCGCCGAGATCCCCGAAAGTTGGATGTAAGCATTACTACGGTTCCTGGGAAGACCATCGTTGTAGCTATACTTGTAAGCGTACTTGTACTCGAATGTAATGAGGAAAGTTGTTCCTTTAAAACGGAGAGAGTAGACTCGGATTTTCAGCAAAGATGGCTGAAACGTGCAGCCGAAATGCCGGTGTCTGCCGTCGGACACAAGCATGACACGAGAAAGTGCCGATAATAACCGAGTATCTTAATTGTCTGAGGAGATGGGTCCTGTTTGGTCGCAGTTCGTCGCACAAGAACGCAAAAAAGAAAAAAAAAAACTTGCTACTTACCGGCGGCAACTCGGCAAGTATTTTTTTGATCCGTGATCCCCGAATTTTGAACCAAAACGATGTCTAATCTTCGTTCCACCGCTGCTGAGCAGCTGACACCCCGTCGTTGTGTTAAAAACGTGTATCCTTCCTTCTTCCGCCTTGTGAATCTCAAGTTTCACGCACGCGGTGGTAGATTTGAACATCTCCGAGATGGCCGAAAATCCGTTGGGAGTTGAATTTGCAGCAAGTAAGCAGCTATTTTTGTGTCCTCGTCCTCGTCCACTTCCATCTCCCTGTCCGCCCGCTCGTCGAGCTCGCCCTCTTCATCACTCTCAGAGGCAGGATCCACGACCATCTCCGCTCCAAAGTCGAGTCTGAATTTCTGGTTTTGGGCTTCGGGTTCCACTGTTGCCTGGTACTTAGGTCTGGCAAAGAAAAAAGAAAAGAAAGAAAAAATGACACAACAATTGCATATGACCTGACCCCGATTGAACAGGGATCCTCCGCTTGATATCTTCTTCAAACCCGTAAATCCAGCAGATACACTGACCATTGTGCTATCAGGTCAACGATACCATCTTTTCTAAATTGGATGCACTGTGTTAGAGTCTATCCTTGTATGGACAGAGGCAGAAAACCAATCGGGGGTGAACATCAAACACAATTTTCAGAACTTCCAAGCTAACAGGTCGTCGTCTACAGGCTAAGGAGGCTCCGCCAGTGCAGTTTCAGAGCTTTTTCTGATCCTAAGAAATAAAATAAAAAGGTCAAACAACGACATCGCACGGCCTGACCCGGAGTCGAACCGGGACCTTCTGCATAGTCCACTCATTATAACCTAGATTAAGCAGACGCACTAAGCACTGTGTTATCAGGTCAGTGCTGCTAGCCTCCTTCGATTGAGGACATGCAACAACAGGAGGTAAGACCTCCAAATCGGCCGGATGTTGAACTATTGCAAAACAGGATCACTGGTGCCACACATAACCGTCCCGGATTCACGGAGACGAGGAGCTACTGGCAAGCAGGGCGGGACGTAGGGTATCATATCGGTGCATCAAGTTTTTTTCCTTCTAGGGCAAAAATGAAGGAAAAACAGATGGTGGCGCAGATACACGACCTGACTCGGAATCGAACCGAGATCGTCTGCTGTAAATGATCAAAGCAGACGAAACCAGCCTTGTCATCAGGTCGACGACTCTCTTTTGTACTCCAGATGCAAAGTACAGTATGTTGAGTTCCTGGAGCGAAGGCGTTGGTGATTCATTGCCAATAGCGCGTGAGCTTCTTGTCGTTCAGGGTCGTCCGACTAGCAAAGAACACTACGCGTTGAGTCTCCACGATTCGAAACCACTCCTAGCTCATCCCTACCTCGATCCAAACCCACTTGATGAAACCCCATCCTTACGCGGTTGGCTAAAGGTAGAATGAGCGCACGCGTCGATTCGATGTGGGATTGAGTCCGGGCAGCGGGGAGTTTATTGCGGACTGCAGGTGCACGTGTGTAGGCGTACTTGCGCGGATTCGAATTTCAAGCGTGACCGTGGCAAGTAGCTTGTGGACGATGGGAGAGGAGGAGTAAAGCGATTTAATGGCGTTATGTAGAATTAATTATTAATTGTGGGAGTGGGACTCCATCAGGAACGAATGAAGTTCCTCGTCACAAATCTCGGCAAGGCCTGAATATTTATTGGGTACGACTGGTTGCTCAAACACAACCCGGAGGTCGACTGGAGGTCTCAAAAAATTACCTTTAGTCGGTGCCCGCCAGAGTGCAACATGAAAGGCACCGAGGCGACGGAGGGCTGGAAACCCGAGGAGGCGCTCGAGGAGGGCGAGTCGATCTTGATGGTTGACTTTGCAGAGCACGTGGACCTACACCTAAAAGAGACCCAGGCACAGAAGATGGCAGAAGAGGCCAACAGGGGTAAAGAAACGATGACAGAGGACGCGGTTCCGGAACAATACCGCGAATACATGCAGGTGTTTGCGAAGGAGTCATTTGACCGACTTCCGGAGAAGAGGCCGTGGGATCATGCGATTGAATTGAAGCCGGACTCCAAAGCGGTCGATTGCAAGATCTACCCGTTATCGCAGACGGAGCAGGGAGAGTTGACCAAGTTCCTAGAGAAGAACTTGAAGAGCGGGCGTATCAGACCGTCGAAGTTGCCTATGGCCTCGGCATTCTTTTTTATTAAAAAGAAGGATGGGAGCCTTTGGCTGGTACAAGATTATCGGAAGCTCAATGAGATGACGATCAAGAATTGCTATCCTTTGCCGCTGATATCAGAGCTAGTAAATAAACTCCGAGGAGCGAAGATCTTCATGAAACTGGATATTCGTTGGGGATATAATAATATTCATATTAAAGAGGGAGATGAATGGAAGGCGGCATTCAGAACCAACCGCGGCCTGTTTGAGCTGCTAGTGATGTTCTTCAGCCTGACAAATTCGCCGGCCACCTTTCAGACGATGATGAACGAGATCCTTCAGGAGTTAATTAACGAAGGAAAAGTCATTGTCTACCTCGATGATATTCTTATTTTCACGGAGTCCCTGGCAGAACACCGATTAATGGTTAAACAGGTGTTGGACATCCTGGAGAAAAATAGATTATACCTTAAACCGCAGAAATGCGAGTTCGAGCGGGCTGAGGTCGAATATCTCAGAGTAATTATTGGCCACAACTCTATGCAGATGGACCCTGTGAAGATCCAAGGGATCACCGAGTGGCTAGAACCGAAGAACCTCAAGCAGGTTCAGGCGTTTTTAGGGTTCACGAACTTTTACAGGCGGTTCGTGCGGGGATACAGTGAGGTGGCCAAGCCACTCACACGCCTGACGGGAAAAGAAGGCTTCTCCTGGGGAGAAGAGCAGAAGGCCGCATTCCAGAAGCTAAAGGATCGGATCGCGGAAGACGCAGTGCTGGCGCTTCCCACAGACGATGGGAAATTCCGTCTGGAAGCTGATGCGTCAGAAGGAGCGACGGGAGCTGTGCTCAGTCAGGAGCAAGAGGGGGGGTGGCACCCGGTAGCATTCCAGTCCCACGGGTTGAATGAGAGGGAACGAAATTACGAGATCTACGACAAAGAGATGCTCGTGATCATGCTCACATTGGAGGAGTGGAGATCTCTCTTGATGGGAGCGCGGCAGACATTTGAAATCTGGACGGATCATCAAAATCTGCAGTATTTTAAAAGTCCTCAAAAAGTAAATAGGAGGCAAGCACGCTGGATAGTGGAACTATCCGAGTACGACTTTACTTTATCACATTGGCCCGGGGCCTTAAATAAAAAAGCCGACTTATTATCCCGCCGGGCGGACCATGACCAAGGGGAGAATGACAACGAGGATGTTGTTCTTCTCAAACCCGAGTACTTCCGATCTCAGGAGGTCACGTTGGAGGGACCGGAGGCCGAGATCATATCACAGATCAAAGCTGAGAAAAAGGTCGACAAGAGTGTGAAACTGGCACTTCAAAAGGAACTTCCCGGGTGGGAGCAAAGGGACGACCTAATTTATTATAATGGTCTTATCTATGTGCCGCGCAATGAGGAGTTGCGAGATAAAATTATTAATTTACACCACGACAACGCCCTCTTGGGCCATCCCGGAGCAAACCGGACCCAAGAGATGATCAAACATAATTATTGGTGGCCTCGACTGGGAAATCAGGTCGCCAAATACATTAAAGCATGCGAGCCATGCCAAAGGACGATGGTACACAGGTACCAACAGGGGAAGTTAAACCCGCACAAGATTGCGGAAGGACCCTGGCAGATTATATCTATGGATATCTATGGATCTTATCAGGCCGTTGCCGGTCAGCAACAGTTTTAACGCTATTCAAGTCTGGGTGGATACATTCTCGAAAATGATTCACGCTGAGGCGGTGAATATGGAGCTGAGCTCAGAAGGAGTTGCCCGATTGACTCGGGACCGTGTGGTTAGATACCACGGGATTCCCCGTAAAATTATATCGGATTGGGACCCACAATATGTATCAGGGTTCATGCGGGAGCTCAACCGGCTCCTCGGCATCGAGATGAACCCGTCAACGGCATTCCATCCGATCACAGACGGCCAGACCGAACGGATGAACCAGGAGATTGAAAAATATCTCCGTATCTATGTAAACTATCGCCAATCGGATTGGGCAGAATGGCTTGCGCTGGCCGAGTTCACTCACAACGATGAAACGGGCAAGATGTGCTGACAGTGAATTGAGGCTAGCTAAGCTAAAGTATGGGCTAGCTTGAACACTAACACACCACACCTAAAACCTAACACACCACACCAATCCCCTTATGATTATAACACTAAGACTAGCGCGTCTTCCTAGTGAGTTCGGGTCCCGAGTCGTAGTATGCGACCGCTGGTTTGAATCCCTAGTGCACGAGCAATGATTTATGGCCTCAACTATCCCAACAAACAACTCTAATCTCTGAGCTAGCTCAACCATTTGACCGAAACAAGTCTTTCCAAGGGATTGGAATGAACGGGTTGGGGTAAAAAGGGTTTTTACTAGGTGGACGTAGATTGCTATGTCGTCCTAGGCGAGGTGATAAAGCATCTTCTGAAAACTTCCAGTTACGGACTATGCTGCACCAGCTATTCTCTCCTCTATGACGATCCCAGATCAACAGATATTTGGGTGCCGACTTAGAACCTTGAATCTAAGCTCTTTTCCTTAACACTTGGGCTTATACTGGACCTAGAGGGTTCACTCAAGCTCCGTTAATCGGCCAATGAATCGACCAAGGAGTTTTACCAAAGTGCTGTGCTGGTCGTGGTCCGTTTTACGGGAGGCGTTTCCTAGTCACCCAATGCGTAGCCCTTGCGAAGTCCACCACAAAGTCAACAACAACTCTCAAATGTTCTCTTTGTGCGCTCGGTCCCGATTTATACGTGGAGGTCGTTGCCGCTCACAAGCTCCCAACACGAGTCTTTGCTTATTAGTTCACACAGTTACTTGTGGATCCAAACAACACTGATTCGATTTCTATAGACTTTAAAAGCGAAGAAGATACTTTATCTTCGCTAGCTAGGCCTGAGCACACCCTTATCGTCGTAACGATGAGCGGGGCGTGAACGGGTCTTTCAGCGATATTTACATGTCCTTTTTATACTAGTTGAGAGAAAGAGATGAGGTAAAGTGAAATGAGTAAAAAGAGCCCAAAACTGGTCCGCGCAGCTCCCCTACGGCGAGCTAGCCAGCTTTATCGAGCGCTAGGCTTGCCAGACAGTCAGCTAGCTGACCATCTTGGGGGCCTAGGCTGGGTATATTGCCAATTCCGTACAGCTTTACAGCTCCCGGACTCTCTGTATTTGCAAAATGACTCGGAAAAACCATTCCCGCCATCGCCTGCTCACCAATCCTCTGTCTCCGCACGGACTGAACATATAGTCGTTCAGGCATTGTGCCATCTCTTCTGAAATACATCTCTTTGACTTTGTTTGGTGCAGCTAGCTGCCTTCAAACGTGTCGCGTCGATCACCTGATCTATCACTCGGCATATTCTCGTGCCGACAGTTGCTCCTAGCCGTCGCTACCGCTAGCTAGCCTGATAAACCCGAAGCTAGCGCCAAGTTATTTCTGGAACGTGGCCCCTAGCTCAGTGCCATCCAGCTAGCAGCGCACTAGCTACTTGTATGTCCCTCCTCTTTACGCTAGCTGGTAACCCTCGTTATCCTGTGCTCTCTGGAAGTCGTCTATTGGCGCACTAGTCCACACTATGAGGTACTAGACCATAGTAGTCCTCCTTAATGTGTATACCCCCCTAGTGTAATGCTTGTTCACGCGCCTAGCACTAAGTTTGTACTACGGTCAGCAGCCGGAGCTCACTCTGACCCTCCTTTGTATCACCAAACAGAGTCC